ACAAATAATGAGTTGTATCAAGCTAAGATATTCAGGTGATATTGTCCTAACAGACTCAGAAATATAACAGAAAGATCTCTTAAATATAGTAGTGAAAGAAAGTGAGATAAAAGGAACATTAACTGACAGAATACAGGGTTGCCAACAAAGGAGACGACCCAGGGGGGGATTGTATATAAGGCTAGTAAAAATCAAGTAGGTACAGAAATCCAACACTCCGTTTAGTGTAGCAACATAGATTACTTAAAGGCATTTGATAGGATGCAACACGAAGAACTACTTGAAATTAAAAAGTGGTAGCTAGAATTTCTTGAACCGGTCATGAGGAAAGAGGGTTTCCCGAGTGTAACACGCTCATGACGTATTGAAGGAAAGACCAGCGGGAAGATATATGGATTAATCTACGTTTGTATGATGGGGTGCCAAAAGAATGACAAAGATGAATTGGAAAGAGTAAAAAGAAATATTTAGCGCAAGAATATTAAGGACATTGTGAAGAGCTATGAACATCTACATCATGAACTTCCATTGCGCATAAAAGAAAATTTTATTGGATGTATTATCAAAGACGGACAAGATGAAATTGGTATGTTTCAAAAACGGAACCAGCAGATCAATTTTAAACTTCTATTAATATTGCATTCCCTTAAAGACGTTACGAAATCAAGATTCCTTAAACAATCCTTTCTTTAACGGTTGTAGTTCTGTCAAGAAATTTTCCATGCAACTTGTATAATGTTAAACTGCACTATGTTTCCTGTAATTTGAAGAGAGATACTCTCGGCTAAACGACTCACCTTATTCTAGAAACGCGATAAGTGAAGTAGCAAGCGATATCGCTAATCTTATGCATTATTGTAACAATCAACCAAAAAATAATAATAAATTGAAAAACTTACACATTATATTATAAAGATTTTAGATTATTATAGCTTTTTACTTACTAATGTGTACGTATGAATATATATATATATATATATATATATATATATATATATATATATATATATATATATATATATAATTATATATATATATATATATATATATATATATATCTGTGTGTGTGCGTATATATATATATATATATATATATATATATATATATATATATATATATATGAGTGTGTGTGTGTGTATCATTATTATTATTAATAATATGTATTGTGTATTTGGGCAGAAATCCTCTTTATATACATGTTTCATTAAAACGAATGCAAAGCTTAATCGCAGCACCTTGTCAGTCTTTTTTAATGTAAGTTGCATATATATATATGTGTATATATATATATATATATGTTCGTTTTTTGCTTTGAGAAAGTCCACATTGGACGAAACGCGTCAGCAATAACTACAGTTTTCCTATTGTCATTTATATATATATATATATATATATATATATATATATATATATATATATATATATATATATATATGTATGTATGTATGTATCAACGAACTGAGATAGATAGATAAATAGATAGATAGATTACTAAATTCTGAAAGAGAGAAAAGATTAATCTGAGAAAGAAAGTAAGAAGAATGAATGAATAGATACACAGACAGATAGAAGAAGACTGAGATAGATGCATATATATATATATATATATATATATATATATATATATATATATATATATATATATATATATTGCTCTTAATAAAATAATATCAAAATCTGCTACTCAGGGTTTTATACAATAACAATCGTTGGACGGATATAAAACAATTTATCAATAATATTTTATATTTAGACTCTGTAGGAATATTTTGGCTTGTGTCTGACTAAGTTAAACTTAATATCAATTACCTCAATACTGAAAGACACTTCAAGCTAAAAAAGATAGATCGATGGTCGGGTTAATAGATGTTAAATAAACAAGCATTTTGTAATTATATATAAACACCAAATTAGTGTAACAGATACACAGATGTGATTTTATTTCCATCTTCACACATAATGTCCGAAGCCTTTTGATACGAAGAAATAGAACACAATAAAGATGCTTATAGTTCTAAGATAATTTGATATTGAGTTCTGTAAAAATTATTTCCGCCATAAACATGTCAAACTCTTGTAGTTCTGTCAAGAAGTTTTCTATGCAACTTCTATATTAATTAGTTCTATGTTTCCTGTCATTATCAATAAATTAAAAACTTACATAAATGATATTGCAATATATTCATTAATATAGCATTAACAAAGTGACCTATAGAGGGCTCTCGTGTTCAGTAACTACTGCTGCTGTTTGCACCCGCTTGTATCTGAGCCTCGGGATCGTCATCCTTTCTCCCTATTCGATGTCTCTTCCCTGGTGGTCGTGGCGGTGATGGCTGTGTATCAAAGAGAGTTTGACGAGTCCATTCGCATGACTGATTTTGCTGGACAACTGTGCGACGGAGACGCCCACACACTTGGCCAGAAGCTTCTCCCTCGTGGCTGAAAGAGATTGACACAGGCGAGATCTAGCAAATCTGGTTGTATCAGGATGTCTGTCAAAGTCCACCTTGGTTACGTCAACCCGACTGGCGATGCTCTCTTCCGCCAGTTTGGACATCGAGGTCGCGTAGATCTTTCCGATCTACGCGACCTCGACGTCCAATTCTGTTGTTGGGGTCTTCGTGATTTGGTTGCGTTCTGCCTGGTCCTTCCTCTTCTATCTTACCGTTATAGGTGGCCCTTCAGTTGTTGGAACTCCAGACGGCTCAGCTCTTCAGATCCCTGGGAATAGTAAGCCCTCTACCATGACAAGGAACAACCATATATATTTTACACTGGATGTCAGAGTGAACAGTTAGTTATCAAATGTACCACTTTTAGTTTAAATGGAAATAATAGAAACGAATCAATAAATAAGAAAATAATAAAACTAATAAAAGTATAAAATTATTATTAAATACATCAGAACATTATTATTATTATTATTATTATTGTTGTTTTTGCTAAATATAAATATTTGAGAGATAAATAATAAAAGAGGAGATTCATTATTGAACAAAAAATAGTCAGTAACATGACAAGATTAAATGAGATTACGGCACGTCACGGGATACTGTGACCAAGTACACGTCATGCTGATGCAAACTTTATCCAAAAAATCCATCTATAAAGCGAGCGCTAAACATTTCCCCAAACGCTTACTATTACTTACCTGGCACAGGGCTCATCCCTGGGCTGGTGGTATCACGGCTAGGACTAGCTTGGACCGGCTCCGGCCTGGACAAATAGGACCATCCAAGACCAGCTATGACTAGCTTAGACCAGCTCTGACCAGATTGGACAAGCTACGACCAGCTAAGACCAGCTTGGAACAGCGGCCCGAGTGAAAACACTCGGGTCTCCACGTTAAAAATCGACCTTGTGTCACTACCTGACTCAGTGGGGTGTCAAGTACATACACTTACTATTTGGCGAAGTGTTATTCTTCCATGTTTTAGAACCCCCTGCGAATTTAATGCGGAAGGAAGTGGACTGTGCAGCCCAAAATTTAGAAGTGTTCAAAAATCAGAAAACATGGCATATTTTTCGGCAATCTCCTTTTCTTCTTAAATCCTTTTCTTACCGGTGACAAGGAAAAGAAAAATTAAACTAAATAATCACATTATTGACTTCCTTTGTTAATAAGAGATAACGCAAAATTATTTTGAAAATATTTGTAATGTTATTATTAAAAAAAAATGATAATAATTATTTTAAAGCATTCCTCAGCTACACAAAATTAAGCTTCCCCTGGAAGCCAGGAGAACTGAACTGTTAATAAAATTATGATTTACTGAGTTCTAGTTTGTAATATAACTATAAAAATCTCGATACCAAACCTATGCAACCCAGACTCATAAAATTGTCTAAATATAACTAAACTTAGCACATATTTTAAACCGTCTTTCTTCGCCATTCCATTCTACTCCTAACCTTTGTGCAATGTCCCTTCAGGACGTGGGCGATCACGGCTCTCCACAACTTCGAAGCTCTTAGTATAGTTTATATTTCCACTATCTCTACAACTCTCTGTTCTGCCAACCAATTATACAAGCTCGTTAGGCATGGTACTCATTGTTTCCTCTGCCCTTCAATAAGTCCTGCGAGTGTTAAATTCTCTAAGCCTACTTTTCCCAGTGTCAGAAATTACAACTGTCTCTTTTTGATTCTAATAAAAACACCTAAACAATTTTATTTCATTGCATTATTGAATTCACTTAATAAGTGATAATGTGAAATTATTTTGAAAATTTTTTTTTTAATTTTATTATTACAAAAAAAAATAGATAATTATTTTTAAAATATTCTTCAGTTACATAAACGAGTGTTCCCCTGGAAATCAGGAGAATTGAAACGTTAAAATAAATCAGACTTACTGCGCTTTGCTTTGTAATCTAGCTATAACACTCTGGCTTTGAGACCTATGCGGTGGAGGTTGACAATTTTACTTGTCTAATAACACTCACTAGTTCTTAAGTAGACAATTTCTGACTAAGTCTTTAAACACGAGTCATGTGGCTCTAGTTACGGCTTTGTAGCGTCACTGTCAGACGCTAGGGCATCATTATTACCGAATTAGTCAATAATTTGCCAGTTACTTCGTTTAATCTTTTCTCTCTAAGCATTGACATTAGCAGATTGTTCTGACTATCGATATGCCCTTAACTAAGGAACGAGAGGAAGACCTATCGTTGCACACGGGAAAAACGTCTCCCTATTCGGCATCGGTCTGCTTTAGAACGTTAACAGGGTTCGTTTAGGCCGGATTAGGCCAATTCCTTTTGATTTCCACATGAAGTGATACGAAAAGCGAGAGACTAATTACTGGAAATAGATGAGATAATTTCTTCTAATTTCCTTTCCTGTCTGTAGCTTACGGCCACATCGGTTCTCGTGCGTTAAGCAACGTCGAGCCTGGTCAGTATTTAGTTGGGTGACCATTTCAGAATACCAGGTGCTGTATTACTTGAAATAGACGAGATATTTTTCCTAATTTCCTTTCCTTTCCTGTCTGTGACTTATGGCCAAATCACATTGAAACATCGGTTCCCGTACAATTACTGAAGTTAAGCAACGTTGAGCCTGGTCAGTATTTAGATGGCCGACCATTTCAGAATACCAGGTGTTATATTACTTCATTTTTTTTTTTTTTTCTAATTTCCTTTCTTTTCTTGCCTTTGGCTTACGGTCATATCATGTTGAAACGCCAATTCCCTTACGATGACCGAAGTTAAGCAACGTCGAGCCTGGTCAGTATCTAGATGCGTGACCGTTCGAGAATACCAGGTAAGCTTAGATGGGTGACCGTTACGGAATGCCAGACATTTCCGGAATCGTCTTCTCAATTATGAAGTCTTTCCGTTCAGATAAGTCCATGAAGTTCGTCATTCTGACGTCAATGTAAATCAATAGGTGCACCCCAAGTCTATCTCTTCAGTCCTACCCTCTTTCTGATTAATAACGACAACTTGCCTAAGAACATTCTCAGATCATTTGTAAATATATATACGAACGATACCACAGTTCATGGTTGCAACACCAAATATCTAGATGACCAGAGTTTGGTAACTGATCACTCCTCGGACCTAGGACCTATTCAGCTGGACTTACGGCAATATAACGGTGAAAAACCGGTTCGCCGTACGATGACCAACGTCGAACCTGGTCAGTACCTAAACGCCTTACCGCTTATCAGGGAAGTTTGGGTGTGCGGGTGGAGTAATAGATAATGGTTTGGAATTGTTAATCGGAGAGCCGAGTTCTAATTTCTATTGGGTTCGTTATAGTCACTTACGCGTAAATACCCCTTGGAAAAGCTATGAATCCACTTCTTCTCACGCTAGTTACGGATTAATTAGTAATACTTGTATCACTGAAACCATTATTATCACCAATATTTTTTTTTTAATCTAAAAATATTTTCTGGCTTTAAATAGTCTATATTGGTGTTGATTAGGAGGAGAAAACGAATCGATCGATTTTTTTATTATTATTTTTTATTTATTATTTAATTTAATTTATTATTTTAATTTAATTTAATTTAAATTAATTTATTATCTAATTTAATTTATTATTTAATTTATTATTTTATTTAATGTTATTTTATCTATTATTATGTTTTATTATTTATTATTATTTATCATTATTATTATTATTTTATTTAATTTAATTTATTATTTTATTTATTATTTTTTTTATGAATGCACTTCTTCTCACCCTAGTTATGGGTTAATTAGTAATACTTGTATCACTAAAATTATTATTATTATTATTATTTTATCTAAAAATATTTTTTGGCTTTAGATATATATATATCTATATTGGGCTCGATTGATTCGTTTTCTCCTGCTAATCAGCAGGAGAAAACGAATCAATCGATCAATCAATTTTCAGAATCAGATCAATTTTCTGGCTTTATATAGGCTATATTCGGGTTGATGAGCCGGCGAAAACGAATCAGTTGATCAGTCAACCTTACAGGCGAATCAAGTAAAGACCAGCTTTCAAAACAAAGCTGGTAACGTTTCGTCGCCACAAAACAGACATTGTATTTTTTTTCCAATCCTAATAAACAGTTGTAGTCTCAATGAAGTCTCGTCAGAGTTAGTCTATTTCAGTCTGTGTGAAAGTGAATGTCTATTGTGACTAAAGCTCACGAGACCTCAAATGGAACTAGCTTATAGGAAACATCACCAAAAATGATAATTCTTTCCATGTGTCACGCTATAAAGCATCTAACTGAACGAATCAAGACACTAAGTGATCTGAGTGTCATTTATAAATATTTATATTAAAAAAAAAAAATCATCGAATGATATTTGCTTTTCATCGAAGCGCTATACTGGGTTTTTCGTGCTATTCTGCGATGTAAGAGCCATTTTCTACGCGGGGCTTAGATGTGGCACAAGACCGAGTATATGGCGCACTCAGTGAGAATCGAACTCACTCTTCAGTCGTACTTGATCCAGCGAGAAAAGCTTGCTAGACATCTCACCACATCGAGTGGCCAAATTCTGCGATGTAAGAGCGATTTACTTAGCGGCGTTTAACGCTTCTCTTAATAATAGGCTGTATTAGATTGTATAATATCATCTTCAGGGCTTACTCTGAACTGATCAAGAGGGAGATATCTATTCTTGCCTTTTAACGGCATTAGTGCGACGTGAACGCAAAGTAATTTAGTATATGAGAGACTAAAGCATTTATATTTAATACTATAGTATTATAGCCTTAAACTATCTACACTTAGTAGTAATCTTATTAGTAATCTGTGGCGTCTAGTTAAATATTCATTCATTCCCTTTCATTCATTCCAATGCCGGTTGGTGTGAAGAGCATTCTGGATCGTCATGTTAATGGTAGTATTTGCCGTTTCCTTACAAGGAAACATTCGCCATTCATTGACCGTGTAGCCAGTAATGCTGCCGGTTGAAATTTATAAAATTTCTCTCATGAAACAATTTTTCTGGAAAATAATTTTTCAAGTCCAGTAGCTGTTATCGCTCTTTCTAGTACTGGTTGGGGTTCCTTCCTAACCTTTTGTTTGAAGTAGTGTGGGAGGTCAACATGTTGATTTTGTCATTATTTTCTCTTCGATTTCATGCATTACCCAATTTTACAGTTGAATGTCTTCAAGTAATGTGGTCTTTGCTAATTTGGTAAATTTCTTTCTTTGTGATTCTGTAACGCCAATCTATAAGTTCTGACAAACGGTTGTCTTCTAAAAGACACAGAAGATTATTTCGCTCGATTAGAGACAGTATAGTTGTTGTTGTTGTTCTTCTTCTTCTTCTTCTTCTTCTTCGAAATACATGTGAGATCCATTTTAGTTGTTGCTGCTGCTGAAGGTCTTCACGTAATGTCGTTTCTGTTATCTGGTACAGTTTTTTGTTTGTGATCGTGTAGCGCCGGTTCACAAGGTTTAAAGAAGTGTGTTCTTTGCCAAGACCCGCAGACTTATCTCGTTCAACGCTATTTTGAATCATTGATATTGGAATGTGGTTGTATACAACGGACAGTTTAGATATTTCTGAACGAGATTGGCGCCATGAATGACATTCATCTAAAAGATAATCTCCCGCCAGTGGGATTATTCATAATCGTTGAAATCTATTGTGTTTTTGTCTTACAGACATGGTACCTTCACCTCATGTCTAACCATCTATGAGCAGTTTCAGGAGAGTGTAAATATTAGCGTACCAATTGCTTCATATTCGCTTGTAAAACCCGATGGTTCTTTATCTTAGCTATATAATTTTTCGGGGTGGGGAGGAGTCAAGAGGATTTCTATAACATCAAATAAAGTAGCAAATATTATATATTAAAGTAACTTACTAATCGCGTAGACATCAAAGAAAAATAGTAATACGAAATGTACCATCATTTTTTTTCTTTTCTTCTCTCTGATTTTTTTTAATTCTATTTCGTTAATTGTTTTTTGGCATTTGCTTCGTTAATACCTCAAGAGCAGACTATTTCGAGAAAAATGTACTGAATGACCACTACCAAGGGTAGGGTCCACAAGCATTTTCGGGGGAGGACAAGAGTGAGATTAAAAACAGCAAAAAGGAGTGGGTGCGTGAAATCGAGTAGTGTGAGGGGTGATGGGAGTGGTATGATTAGGGAAGGCTCATTATGTCTCCCCGTCATAATTACGGGTTGCGAGTAAATAACATAGGTACAACGCTCGTTCAAGGAAGAGAAATTCCCTCCTGTTATATATATATATATATATATATATATATATATATATGTGTGTGTGTGTGTGTGTGAGAGAGAGAGAGGGAGAGAGAGAGAGAGTGCAAGAGTTGGGTTAGTATTGGTAAGAATAACAAAGTTTTTTAATCGAAGAGAGTCATAGAGAGGGCGAGTGAAGATGAGTAGTAGGAGAGGAGAATATGACTGAAGGTAGACGGAGAAGTTTTAACAGAGAGGAAGCTCAGAAAAGATATAGTGAAAAGAAAGAAGGCAAGAAAGGGATTCAAGAAAGACGAAGGTGTAGAGAGATCAAGAAAGAGAGAGAGAGAGGAGGAAGAGAGAAAGAGACGCAATAGGAAAGAAATTTAGTATTAAATATTGGGTAGAAAAGAAATAAAAAGTAAAGCAAAGAAAGAAAGAAAGAAGAAAGAAAAAAAAGAAAGAAAGAAAGAAAGAAACTTAGGTACAACTGTTTCGGTCACTAGGTACGTTCCGTTTTGTGTACGAAGGTTGGTAAACAAGTGTCAGTTGGTCGATTAGGACGTCATACACAAATCTGTCTCATTGTTTCTGTCCAATTTAAACGAAAACGCGCACCTGGATAATGAAACACTACTTGCGTTTATACCTACGTACATACATACAATAAAGCCAAATTAAAAAACCGGCAACAAACAAGTATTTACTCCAATTGCGCCTCGCATTTAATAAAATTATTTTCTATTATTACGTGTCATCATTTAACTTAATGATATTAAGTTTTTAGCTGCAATGCGATAGAAAAGGTGATAATTTTCCAGTCCTTGGTGGTGAGTCCACTACTCTGTAAAGACAGCCATATATAACATACTAGACACGGTTCAAAACAATTAAAGCTTGGCTTTAAATTGCATTAAAAGTTAAAACAATTAACTACACCTTTAGAAAAGCTTTTGACAGAACAGTAGAACATTCCAGTCCGTATAAAGAAATCTGTATTATAAGAATCCGATTTGTGGGTGCGTTTATGTGTTACACTAAGAGGCGGGAGGGGAGAAAGAAAAACGACACATCATAACAATTTTTTTAGGGTAAAACCATTGAAGTATTATAATAAAGCAATTTAATGATAATAATAATAATAATAATAATAATAATAATAATTACAGCCCACACTTTACGAAGGGCGTTATCTATGCAATTTTTTTTTTTTTTTGCAGTGTCATGATGCCATTTCTAACCTTAGGTCCCTGTGCGGGACCCAGAAAGAAATGTGTAAACGCCAGAAATCAAAGAAAATAGAAATGATAATAATAATAATAATAATAATAATAATAATAATAATAATAAATGCCAAAAATTGTACTCACAGGTACAGCTCACACATTACGAAAAGCTTCATCTATGTAAATTTGTATGATCTTAGATTGTTTTGTTTTTGTTTTGTTTTTTGGTTTTTTTTTTTTTGCTTTTTTTTATACAAAAATAAATGACTGGAAAATATCGCGAAGCCATTTCTGACCTTAGGTCTCGGGTTGAGACCCAGAAGGATATTTTGCTTTTCCAAGAGTAGCTTAGATGTGGCACAAGACCGAAAGTATGGGACACCCAG